CATGATGAAGCAGGGCATCGACGTCGAGTCCAGAAAGCGGCTTTTCAGTTTCGCGGGTGCGCTTGCGACCCTTTGCTTTGGGAGGAACTAGTAACAAGATTAGCAGCCTGACAGACTTCATTGTTTGGGAGGGTTGGCCCAACCCTTCTTAACATCAGCTATCTCGATCAATTTCTCTAGGTGTTTCTGCGAATTCTCCATGAGATCCTCTGGTGGGTGTGAATATTTGGTTAATCTCTCCGATGGAGGGAGTATGGGCTGGTCTGGATGTATAGCTCGAGCACGGATGGCGTTGTCAATCCGGTGCAAAACAGGCGAGTAGGAATCGTCGATAGGGAAAGTCTCCACCGGATTCCTAGTTTTGTCAATAAGAAGATATTTGGAATCATTGAGGCATAAGCTTACCCATCCTCATCTGTGTCGACAAGCTCCATACTATTCACGTACTTGCCCATCACATCGAGTAAATCATCACTGGGAAGATTTCGGTGTTGTGTCACAACCTTTCCAGAAACAGTTATCACCTTATCCAGAGGAGGGAAGCGATACGTTCGGACATCTTCGGCGAATGGTAGCTGAACTTCGAGCAGGCATTCATAATCAGGCTCGATCGAGGGCGCCAGCAAGACTATAACCGGCGTCTTGTTCTCTTTCACAACTAGACGGGCAACAGCATAGCAATCTAGCTCAAAAAGTGCGTGTATAAAGGATGAAATGGCAAGAGCAGCTTTGTCGTTGGCACGTTGTGCAATTATGATGTTTGTGCTGGACATGTGCATGTAACGTTCATACTGTTGTCGTGTCTTAGCGTATGCACCTAGGCGACTTCAGTAACACATACCTGGTCAGTCTGGATGAAGCCCATCAATTCCAGCCCTGCGAATGTTTCAAGAATCGTAATATTCTCATCAGTCTCGCTTATATGAACTGCGGTCCGTCCGTACTCATATCCTTTGGCGAGGTCATCTCGTTCGACGTCGATTTTCCCACCCGGTGCACTTTTGTCCTCAACCTGATATGTTCTCATGGTTCTCACCGTTGTGAGTCCGGCATCTGCAGACTGGCTACCTTTTTGGGTAGCAACAGCCTCAGATGACTCTGCCTCTTCAGGCTCAGAGCGAAGGACGAAAGAACTTGCAGTCGGGGGTTTGGCCGGATACGTCCGATAGTACCTTTCAACAGGAATACGAAGTGCAGAGTCATACTCCTCTGGGTTACCTAGTTGGAGATATCCTTTGAAGCTTGCCATTGACCTAACAGACTTGACACGGGGGATGTCCAATTCAGCCACAGCCTGCTCGAATGTTCCGTAGACTCCATCGCAATCTTCCACGAGGGTACGCAAGAGAGTTTCATTCTCCGCCTGTTTTCTATTGTTAGAAGATAAAGGTCAAATTGCGCGGGAGATCTCGCTACCTTGTGAGGGTCTTTGTCTTCTTCTTTGTAACCGTACTCAGGGTCATCGAAATCAATCCCCCTGCTCCAAGTTAGTTTTTGTGTCGTTGCTATTTCGTAGCAAATCACTGACATAATGACCAGTTCGATGTTATCCTCCTTGACCTTTTTCACTATCTCGTCCAGGTCCTCATCGCTCATGCGCCCCTGTCCGTTGGTGACCAAAACGATCTTGCGCCTATACTTCAACTTCTTGCAATGCGTGATGATCATCTGAATAGCCAAGATAATAGCGGAAATAGCTAGAGAACAAAGTTTAGTATTTAGATGACAAAGCCCAATGGTTTACAAAAAAGCTTACCGTCTCCCTTGTCCGTTTTGCTTGGTTTCAATTCATCCTCCAGTTTTCGAATGTCCGGCATAAGAAACCTTTGACATCCTGTCAGTTTGACGCACAAGCCAACCTATCATATTGTGGAAGCATACTGTTTGATGTTCGACAGTACTGAGATATGAGAGAAATGCGCGTCATCTTCAAGCTCGTTGGACGTTCCTTATTCTTTGGGTCAGTGTATGAGCCACACATGGTATTCAGAAGTATACCCACCATCTGTCCTGAGCCCGATTACACCCATCATCGCAGTTTTTCGGCCAGTGGCCACCTAATTTGGAATTAGACAGGTTATATAACGACCATAGCTCAAATACGGTGAGTACCACTCACTGTTCCTGTAATGCGATCCCAGACATATTGCATAGCCCATTCAAGATCACTCACTGGTCGACCATTGCGACATTCTCCCATGGACTTCCCAACGTCCACAATGTACACAGTTGCTTCCTTGTCTGCCATTGTGAATCCAGTGCGGTCCAAATCTTGAAATTACCCAAGAGAAGTCGACATTTAAAACTAGATGTATAAGGCACAAGGCACCTTCCGCTAGGCGACACGATGGCCAGGCAGACGCGTGATATTTCCCTTTTGGGTGAAAGCGGGACGCGAAGGCACATGACATCATGGCAATGGGAAAGTGCGTGGAAAGAGCAAGTTCAGCACACAACAGTGTGTGGCATTATGAAAAGCATCGAATATTGAAGCGTAAAGCATTGCTACATGGACAGTTAAAAATGAGCCTTGTTTCATAATGTTATTTCATTGTACTATGTCTATAATATGGTATGATATCTCCGTTTTCTTTATATTATAACCCCAAGAGCAAAAACACCGATTCTAAACCATGGGCAATTTGGAACTGAGATCGTGACGGTCCTTATAAGCTCGGTGATCTCTTCGAGACATCCAGCGGCAGCGGCAAAGAAGCCCAAGAAGGTCTTGCTAGGCGCAAGAACTCGGCTCAGGTACTCGGGGTGGAACTGTACACCGACGTACCACTTATGGTCCTTCAGCTCAATGACTTCCATACGCTCGCCGGCCTCGTCCTTTCCAATGAAGGATAGTCCACCCTGCTCCAGCTGGCCGATAAGCTCAGGGTTCACCTCGTAACGATGGCGATGTCTTTCCCAGATTTCCTGCTTCTCCCCGTACAGCTTGCGCAAACGAGACCATTCGGTACCAGACTGGAACACAGTCGCCCGCTTTCCAAGACGCATTGTACCACCCATCTTAGTCTTATCGATCTCAGGCATGTAGATGATAACAGGCTGTTCGCAGGTCTCGTCGAACTCGGCGCTGCTTGCCTTATCCATACCGCAGACATGTCGGGCGTATTCGACCACAGCCAATTGCATACCAAGGCAAATACCAAGGTAGGGAACGTTGTTGGTACGGGCCCACTGGGCGGCCAAAACCATACCGGTCGTACCTCTTGAACCAAATCCACCGGGCACAAGAACCTATGAATGTCAGTATTGAGTAGGCATAGCCAAAGAAGATGAAACCTACTCCGTTGGCGGTAGTCAAGTTATGCCACGCGGAATAGTATTCCGCAGGGTTGTTTGTCTTGTGCTCATCTTCAAGGTGAGTAGATTCGATCCAGATCAGATTCAACTTCTTGCGGCAATGCATTGACGCCTTTCGTTGATGATTAGCAACGACACAACGTCTACATGATCGGTCAAACTCACATGTTCCAGCGCCTTGCTCACACTCATATATGAGTCATGCAAGCTTGTGTATTTGCCAATCAAGGCAATCGTCACCGTCTCAAGGGAATGGATTTGGTTCATAGCCAAGCCTTGCCATTCCTGCCAGATGAGCTTACCACTGTCAATAAGCTTCTGATCCTTAGGGATAGCATCGGTTTTAAGGAGTTCACTAAGAGTACTGAGAAATCCTTGTTGTGCCAGAAGGATAGGAACCTGATATGTGGTAGAGACGTTGTGTACGCCAACAACCTGGTTCCGTTCCACTTGGCAAGAATTGGCGATCTTTTGGATAGTTGCCTCCTCCAGGGGCGTCTCGCAGCGGCATGCAATGATGTCAGGTCTGAGACCAGCACTACGGACATCACTGATGGCCCTCTGGGTAGGCTTGGTCTTCTGCTCCGAGCCAATTAGAGGAACATAGCTGACTTGAATCTGAAGGAAGTTGTTCTTGCCAACTCGTCTTTGGAGCTGAGCCATGGCCTCAACGAATGGTGCGCTCTCGATGTCTCCGACGGTACCGCCCAACTTGAAAATGCTAGGTTAGTCTATGATGCGATCCGTCGGTACTTTCTTGTACTCACTTCGACTAACACAGAAGTTAGCAAACACATTCATATTATTTGGCCCAGCATACTTACTGATGCAAACGTCAGGCTCCCTTCCAGACTCATCCACAGAAACCTTGGCGACCTTCTCAACCCACTGTATATCACGTCAATGCACTTCCTGACCAAGTAGGTACAACTTTGGGACGTACGTTCTGGATTTCATTCGTCAGATGGGGAACGATCTGCACAGTCTTTCCGAGGTAATCTCCACGACGCTCCTTAGTGATGACATGGTGGTAGATCTTGCCGGTAGTGATATTGTTGTCACCACCAAGAGTAACGCCGAGATAGCGTTCATAGTTTCCAAGATCCAGATCTGTTTCTGCACCGTCATCGCAAACGAACACTTCACCGTGTCTTTTGATTGTGTCAATGAATGCAGGTATACGGGGGAATCATGTGGGACCAACTCTAGAGGCTATATCGAAATCCATTAGCTTGTACGGCAATTGAGATGTTAAGGAAGTGTGTAGCCACTCACGTTCATAAGACCAGCATCGATGTTCAGGTAGGGGTCGATCTTGATCGAAGAGACAGTCAAACCCGCCGTCTTGAAGAGCAATCCACAGCTTGAGGCGATAATGCCCTTGCCAACGCCGGAGATGACACCTGCAGAGGGCTGTTAAAAAAATGACAGAAAAACATAGATCGGAAAGCAATTACCTCCAGAAACCAGAACGTACTTCATTTTGCAAAATCTGAAAGTTAGCCCCCCTAGTAGAATACTAGGGAGGGGGGAAGAACAAAAAAAAGTGGGCGCGAATATCCGCTTTTGGTGACTCTATAGGAAAAAAAAATTCTATCTTACCTAATCAATCATGTGGGCGGTGAGGCGGACAGTGAGGGACAACAGTACGGAATACTAAAAGCGGAGCGCTTCCCTGTTACATCACTGCCTTGGACCCCGTCCGTTGTTGATTTCAATACATACTACTCACTGTTCCATTTTCCCACCATGATTGACCCTCGCCCTTATCACATTCTAAGGTGAGTATTTTACAGGCATGTAGTCTATGCAGAAGCAACTTGCTTATTGGTACTTCCAGCTATGGCACTCTACTCGGTGTCCAAGTGTATCAGGTCAACGATCATGCAACATTTAGCGCCATTGACAGTCTACTAATTCTCAACGGAATAGACCTTCGTTTCCGGAATTGTAGCTTTTAGAGCCCTTCCTCGACCTCAGTTTGCTTCGTTGCAGACTGCCACATTCCCAATTTACTTTTCTCTTCAAACGGCACTTCCAGTGCTAGTTGCTTTGACAGCTAGCAACAATGGACAGCCGCTCGGCATCTCTGGACTCTTGGAGAACCCCAAGACTTTGCTCCCCATGGCCGCGGCTGCTGTGACTGGACTTGTCAACATGGTCGTGCTCCGCCCTCTGACTGTTAACACCATGCGTGAAAGAAAGCACCAGGGTAAGAACATCGGCCTCCTTCTAATGGGAAAGCGCACTGATTTGATTGCCCAGAAACCCGTGATGGCAAGAAGAGTTATGACCCCCCTCCCCATTCCAAGGAGATGGTAGCTCTTAACAAGAAGTTTGGCCGACTCCACGGCTTCTCGAGCTTGATCAATCTGGTCTGTCTCGGCGCTACCATTTACTATGGTGCTGTGCTTGGCAAGCGACTGGCCTAAGGACATGTCCTTTGCTGATTTGAGCTGGCCATATATGCCTCAGTGCACTATGGCAGGTCGTTCCGGCCTCGATATATTCTTGTAAATAGTGAAATTTGATCTCATAAGATTTGAGGCGATGCAAATATGTCCAATTAACCCTTTGTTAGTTTCGTCTAAACACATACCCTACCGGCTTTTTCGCATTTACAGAGTCTCTTTAACAGCTAAATGGTCCACACACAGAGACATACACAGAGAGAGAGAAGTCCTCAGTCTCTTAACTTTTACCAACAGAATCATAGGAGCAACAGCTAAAGTATTGTAGACCGGAGCATTCGGTACTATGGAAGCAGGCCCTAAATACCCAACTGGGTTAGCGCAGTATCACCTATCTAAACACAGCCATCTTAAAGAAAGACTCGGTATTCGAAGTAGGCTAAACCTACCGGCCATCAAGATAGCCAATTCACACCCCTGATAACGAGTGTGGAGCAAAATGAGCTGTTCCAGCCTCATACCAATTGGATCTGGCCCCCAATCAATCTCGGCTTTTGGCTCCTTCCGTCTTTAACTCCTGAGGTCCAACAGTTTGGACAGCCGAGACGCCAGGATGGCCAATAGCGTTTGTCAGTACCTGAATAGCCCCGGCTAGCCTAAAATATCCGAAGTCTCGTGCTCGCAGTAGTCTCTTACCTAGTAGTACTCCTAACTAGTCCGTGCTGGTGGGTTTGGAATGTTTGAGCCATCGTTGCTTTTGGCATCTACTAACCTGTGCTCTGATTGGCCCGCTCGCAAATGACATCATACGAAATTAGACTAACGTCTTTGGGTTTAGCCTGTCACATTAAGCCGTCCAATGAAGGCCGTTATCAAGATTTGATACTAAACAGAGGAGATCCAGGCCAGATGAACCAAACATTAGTGACCATGTCAGGCTATGAATAGATTTTTCTTTTGGTCCTTCGTCGATGGAAGAGGGGTAGGGGTATAAATAAGAGTAGAAGGAGGGAGATAATGGTGTTCAAGCAGATTCTTTCGTTCTTGTCACTCTTTCATCTTCAAATCAATTCATATATATATACCATTTCATTTGTGGAGCGCTAGAAACTATTCATTGAACTTCATCTTTCTCATATAACAGTCCCTCTTTCCAATCGTGAGTTGTGCTTTCCCTCGTCTTCGGTATGTGCGAATTGAAGCTGATAAAGTATAAATCATAGAGTATGGCTCTTTCATACGAAGCAATCGTCGTCATCGTCCTCCTTGGCTGCATCGCTGCTGTCCTTATCGGTTATTCCATACACTCTCTTTCAACCAACGGATTCCAGGATGATGAGCCGAGGCTTGATATATCATATGAGCAAAGGAAATATATGCGGGAACACCGACTACGCAACCTACACTGGCTCGCTCGGGAAGCCCGTGGTGGAAAAGTGGATCGAGACGTTGAAGCGGCCTTTCCTCCTAGCGCGGAGCACCATGATTGAGTCGACAGTGGTATAGAAAATGGATTATCTCTTTTCACGAAGCAGTTGATCTCATGCGGAGCCCGAGAGAGTGCATCACTACATTCACACTGTGGGGGATGTCGTGGCTTGGTTAAGCAAACACTATTGTATTGGAGTTGCTCCAGAAGTCATGAGCTTACGACGTCAAGAGTTCTTGTCGAACAAATCAAAAGCATGTCCTGGCGACTTGCATGCTTGGGACCATGGTCTTGCCTGCTCTTTAGTTGGTTAGCAGCCACGTTAACATAATGGGTGTTTGCCATTGTACAGTACTAGTCAAAGGTTAGACTCTATACCAGGAAAACACATGTCCAATACCACACATATCTCTTGAAATCACATCAGTTTTATACCAACGGCCACTATCTTGCAACATAGTATCATAATTCCCCGGGCTCTTGCTCACGTATGGGTAGCGTAACTTATCACGCATCTTGTGGGGTACATTAACTGCTCCTGACTCTGTCGAAAACGCAAGTCGGCTATCCCACGCTAGTGAGTTGCAGTGGTGGCATTTATATGTGAGACACATGGTGCTCTAAGCTGAAAACAGTCACAGAGAGCATTATCTTAATTCTATATTCTTTTCTTCCTCTCTCTAATTTTATTTCTATATAGTGGCCCGCTCTACTCCTCTAGTAACCAGTCCGATTTCTTTACCTCTGCATCAACCGGTATATAAAATAGTAGTCAAACAGCCTGGAGGTATATGATCTGCTATCCCACGGAGAGTACCTTTTTATAGATAAGCAGTCACTCTTGATGACTTTGCCAACTGGTAATATGTTCGTACCTATATAATTGACCTACATAGATATATATTCTCAATCGCCAAGATATATATTAAAAGAAAGAGATTTCTGCTGGGAAGTTTAATAATTATTTGAAACGACAGCAAAACTCGTTGACTATCCTATTAGAATACTGTTTCTCCCAAGCTACGCTGAGGTACGCTAAAGAGCAAGATCATCCATGTATTCTCCATTGTCAGATTGCTACAATATGTCTGGAAACAGACTGTCAAGGCGACTAGAGCTTGAATAAGAGGTCTACTTGTCCAACCACAAGAAAGAGATTAGTATCATTACAGATAAGTATATAGCAGAGAGATGAGAGGACAAAAGAACCTGCCCAACATAATCGCAGTTCTTCTAGAGCTGATATGCTGGAGGTTGACGGGATATGTAAGTGGTGTGCCCCAGGGGGGTGTGGGACGAGTACGATGTCCTCTCACATAGTTAAGTAATAAAATCAAAGTAATTCCAGCTGTTATACGCCTAATACTTAATGCTTTGCGTATAGTTGAACCATCGGCTCCTATAAATAACTCCTCCCCCCCCACCTTGTTGTCTGCAGTTCCTTCCTACTGGTCTTCTGTTTTAATTATATCTCCCAATTCTTTTATATATGTATTGAAATCCTTTCCTACATCCTCCTATCACTTCTCAACACCAGTCCGTCACAATGAAGTTTATAACCCTTATTGCTATGTTTCTTGTCGGCCTCGTTGCTCCTGTTGCCATCCCCTCCCATTCAAAACAAAAACCTACCATCTAGAGCTGGCCAGAGTGAGCAATATGCCCCTCAAGATATACACCGAATATACTAACAGTATCAACACCACAGGCCCTCCCCAAATTTCCTATCGCAGACTTGTAAAGGCTCGAAAGATCACCAAATGCCGCGCCAACGTCGACTGCTCCCCAGGAGTCTGTTACGATGGCATCTGCCTCGATTCAGCCGAGTATGGACCCGGCGTGGTCATACCGCCTGGATCAGACCCTCGATGCCGCAACAACACCGACTGTAACCCGGGCACATGTTCCCAAGGCATCTGTATCGCTCCTCTTTAGCTTTGCGTCTCTCTATGCCCCGGATGTGGCACCGGTGCTGATGCTGCGCTGGACGTTGCTGACACTGCCTACACGGGGAGATCTCCATTGCCCGGGTTGTGCTGGGTTTCCCCTGGTAGGTTCTCATAGTTCCGGTGAAGCTTTAGAACATTCCCACTAAAATCATATATGCAGGGTGAGCATGTCGACCCAGTTTTTCTTCTTGGCGCTGGCGCTATGGCGGTCACCGTGCCTGGTCTGGGGTTTTGGGGGCCAAGGACTTCTTGGATTCTGTCTTGGGGCTGGCTGTACTATACCTGGGAAGGCGTTTGTGATATTACTGTTTTTGGTTTTCTTTCTAATCTCTGGAGATAGGAAAATAATCAGCTTTATAGGTATTATATCCTGCTTCATGGGTAAGTAATATTTCGTGATAGAGCAGGTAGCAAGAGACAGACAAGGCATGGAATGTTGGAAACTGGCTGGGTTCGAGGGTAATAAGTAGGTCTAAAGATTCTTTTTCATGGTAGTATATTGCTGAAGTCAAACTTGGGGTTCTCTATATATAGTTATTGTTGTTCTCTGTTAACTATGAGTTATTTCTATAGATCATAGGATTACCTGTTGGGGTATGGTGTATAGTAATTCATGCCTCAGGCATGAATATAGTTCGCAAAGGCCGTTTGAAGTGCATTGAACATCTATAGCCATTCATTGTCTCCTAAGAGTAGGTTTATAATTATCAGCCGATACTATGGTTGTTCTATTCGGCCTCTCTATTACCAGACAGCGTGCAACGTCCAAAATACAAGCCCAATCCCGGGCATAGGGTATCATATTTACAAGCTCACGAGTCCACCAAATCTTAACTCCGCACCGCGACTGTAAGATATAGATCAAGACGCCGCCTCTTCAATGAGATACTTTCGAACCGCACCCTTCAACATACTGATTCGTCTCTGAGTGTGTATAAAGACCTCCCGGTACATCTCTAAACTCTGCTGCACAACCTCCGTTCGCGACTTAGACCCGGCGCAGATCTCTCGCATCCGAAGCTCCATCTCTTTGCGAAGAAAGGGTTTACTGAGAGAAGGGCTATCTGGGAGACCGGCGACGACATTGTCGTAGCCCTCTACCAACGCGACGCCGAGGCGAGTTGGGATGAGTTCCTTCACCGCGTTGCGCCCACTTCCACGCGAATGAACAGCAACATACTCTCGCTCCTTGATCTTGGCGATGTGTTCTGCCATAGTAGCGTCGGTGCCAATTCCGTTGGCATCCATAAGTCCGATAAGTTCAGGCTCGGTCAGGTAGTTCGGTGGTGTTGTCTTGCCGTCAAAGATCTTGGCTTCCGTAGGCTCAAAGCGCTCTCCCATCTGGAAGTTAGGTAGCTGTTGGCTGCTTTCCCATTTGTCATAGACATATACGTCAAGATAATTTCTCTCTAAGACGATGAGCCCTTTGGCATGGAACATCTCGTCGCCGTACTTGATCTCGACTTCGGATGTTTGACCCTTTGCGTCTTCGGAACAGCACGCCAAGAAGCGCCGGACAACAAACTCATAGACTTTCTTTTCATCAGCGCTTAATGCGGTTGGTGAAACCCAGCAGATAGGGTGAATGGGCGGATGTGCGCGATCATTGTGACGGCCCGCTCTGGGGGTTCTATATCCGCCATCGAGAAGACTGGGCCATCGAGTTAATCAATGTGGTGCAAATCTACGATCGTAGAACATACCCTCGGGCGTACTGGCCCCAGTTTGTGTCTGGGAATTGCTTTTCAATTAATTTCTTCAGATCGATGCCTTTATCAAACTGGTCTGTTTCTGTGCGTGGGTAACTTATGAACCCTTTAGTATAAAGAGCTTCGGCGACCTGGAGTCGGTAAGTACCTATACAGCTGAGGCGGGAACTATCCTTACCTTCATAATTTTCTGACTGTCCATGCGAAGATATCTACTACCCATCATTTGCAGGTCTACTGTTGTCAGCGGCAAAGGCCTCCACTTGCTGGTGGGCTTTTGATTGACTTTGGTCACTTCGGCCTCTTTAGTCATGAGACAACGCTCTAGCATCACTGTCACTGCAGCCCTATCGAATAGGTGTACCCTTCTCCAGAGGAAATTCACTTTGATACCGTCGCGGGTATGCATTACCTTGATGCCCCAGAAACTTTCAGGTTTGAAGTTTTTCACGCGTAGATAACGGTCAACAACGAACCCCAGTGTAGGAAACTGACAAGATCCTGCCGAAAATCAGAACTTGACAAAGAAAGCTTAGTGCAGACAACATACCATAGCTAATGATCTTCTCGCTCAGAGCCTCTGACATATGTTTCAGCTGAAGGGTTTGCAAGCGAGTGAACGCAGCCCCGATCCGAAGATCCAGCTCTATTCTGGCAGCTACCGCATTCGCTTGAAGATCATCCAGCTCAATAAGTGATCGAGCTGCGTTGAGAACGTGGCTTTGAGCATATTGTTAGAAAGCTTGTAAAAAAACACCATGGGTGATTCTACTCACGCCTTCTCAGTATTACTGAACCTGGCCCGTTTAACGATAATTCGGGCATTCCCTTCTTTTGCTTGTTTTCGGACCTCTGTCCCGATATGTTCCCCTTCTCGGTCACAGTCAGTCCAGATAAACAAAGCTTTGCAGTATTTAGCCTGCTCTTGTATATTCTTTGCAATGGCTGCTTTGTCCTGTTTTCGAGCTTAGTACACGTTCCTCATAGCCTTGCCATGCCATACAAGAACGACTACATACGGAGTCCACAGCTATATGCACTGGAGCCTCGAATAGTGCACCAGGTGGGCATGATAGCCAGCCCTTATATTGCCGTTCGAATTCCAAGGTCGTCAAGTGTCCAATAACACTAGTCATAGTAACGGCGCAGGTGCCCCAAGAGCCGCCAAAATTGAAATCGAACACATAATTCTTCACATATTGGTTCCCACGCACGGGGATCTACGTCTACCTTAGCACATGTACCCTCACATCTAGCCAAATACCCATATTCGATAACTTACGGTTTGGAAGGAACCTCCAGAAAGATGTTGGCTTACAGCCTTGGCAATGGCAGGCTTCTCAGCCACACACAAGACTCTGGGAACGGTCATGACCGTGGGCTCAGGTTAAAGGTAAATTGAGATAATTTCCATTATCTAAATAGGCCCTTTCGATAGTTGGTCGGATACCATTGCTGGTAGGAAGGAAGCAATTGAACCACAAAAAATACGCGATTTCCCGCCGTTGATACATGCATTTATGCCTGAGGCAGCAACAGCCAGTTGGCCCAAGCTCCGGGACCCGATGCGGTAAGCGTGAGCTCAAGACTGTTGTTGTCTGTTTTGATTTCATCCGCCCACCTTCCCTTCATTCACTTCCCCCCATTCGCCTTGGTTTGGTGCGATAATCCTTCACCAACAATAGACTAAGCTTGCGAAAATGGCGTTGCCACTCCCTGAGGTTCAGTCTGCCGTGGACTGCGCCTCATTCGATCACACTGTGCTACCATTTCTTTCGCAGTTGATTACTCTCCCCGAAAGGCTTCAGGTTGCTGCGGTAGCCAAGGATGTGGATGGTTTGAAAGAAATCTATCTCTCCACCAACCCTTTCATTACAGCGCTGGGATTCAGTCTAGCCCTATCTGTATTCTTCTTTCTCTTCTCAGAGATCAACCGAAACTACTCCCAAGTCGATCGGTTCTGGCCTTTTCTGCCAGCTATATACAATGTGCATTTCGCCCTTTGGGCACGCATGTCTGATCTGCGCACGCAACATCTGGACACGATCGCCGCTATCTCTATTCTCTGGAGTGTAAGACAATCATTGCGCTAGCTTCTCAATTTCAAATACTAATTGCGCGCAGGTCCGCCTGGCATTCAACTACTGGCGCAAAGGAGGCTACAAGATCGGCTCGGAAGACTACCGTTGGGCGATTGTGCGCTCAAAGATTAACAACGGATTCGTCTTCTTCATTTTCAACATCGTTTCATCTCCCTGATCCAGTCGCTGCTGCTGTTGCTCCTCGCGGCGCCCACCTACAACTTCCTCCTTCTGTCGCGCCTCCCTGGCGGAAAGACATTTGAGGTCCCCGACCTGGTATTCTCTCGTGTCGCCTTCTTCTTCATTATCATCGAATATTTCGCCGATCAGCAGCAATGGCACTTCCACTGCGCCAAGCATGAATACCAGAAGACGGCGCGCATCCCTGATCAGTACAAGAGCCAATTTACCCCCGAGGACCTGGAACGCGGCTTCACTGTCAGCGGCCTGTGGTCTCTGTCTCGCCATCCCAACTTCCTCGCCGAGCAGGCTATCTGGCTGACCCTCTACTTGTGGAACTGCTACCGCACCGAGTCGTATGCCCAGTGGACTGGAGTTGGTGTCCTGGTTCTCCTCATGATCTTCCAGGGAAGCACTCGTCTTACCGAGTCCATCAGCTCTAGCAAGTACCCTGAATACAGCGAGTACCAGGCTCGTGTTGGACGGTTCATTCCCCGCTTCTCCGCGAAGCCCAAGTATAAGGGCAAGGCCAAGAAGGCTAAGAAGACTGAAAAGTCTGAGCAGTCGGGAGAAGAGGAGGACAAGAAGCATCAGTGAGGAGGTGCAAAAGTCAGGGAAGTGGGTTATGTTGTGTCGATTCTATATATCGGTCATATGATACCAATGGTTTGTTCGGTCTGGGGTTTCTGGGTACATGTATATTAAAAACCTACTATGTTGGCGTTATTCTGTTGAGGTTTTGCAAAGTAGGCCAAAGCCAAATATATTCTAAACATATTATACAAATTAAGTACTATACAAGTTCAAGCCCTAACCAGTATATGCATAGAACTACCAATCCGCATAACACTGGTCTACCAGCAAACGAGCTTGAGGTGAATATAAGAAAGATGAGTCAAATGAGCTACCTACTATACAGTACAGTACACCGGATGCTTCTTATAAGAGGGAGAACGTGGAAGCGACAGAGTTGGGGTGAGAAGAAAAGGAAACAAGAGGAAAATGGAGCGAGATATGAAGAGATCCTAGTATTTATGGCGATGTTGAAGGAGGAAAGGTAAGGAAAAGGAGGAAGAACGAATAGAGGGATTAAAAAGGAGGAAAAAAGAACAAAGAAAGGAGATGCTTCCGTAACGAGATAAATACAAAACCCAAATTGATATAAGTCCCCTCGTCAACCGTAAAATTTCCTGTGTCTAGATAAGGAATTCAACAAGCGCATTTGTCTATTGTGGGGATGGCGTTTGGTCTCTTCCGTCTTTGCCTTCGGTGACTTCACTTGACTGGGCGGGTTCGGGAGGGGCGATAGTGGCTCCTTTGGCACCGTCGAAGTACTTGGCGAACTCGCCAGACTCGGGCCAGGGCCTGGGTCCGAGAAGTCGGATGAGGTCGTCACGGCTGAGGACTTCCTTGGCCAGAAGCTCCTCGGCGACGATGCCGACTTCCTTCTTCTTCTCGGTCAGAAGGGTGCGGCATTGTTGGTATGCCTCGGCGACAATCCGACGGACTTCCGTGTCAATATCCTTGGCTGTTTCTTCGGAGAAAGGCTTGTGGAACTGGTTGGGATCCTCCTCGTAGTAGATGTACTTCAGCTTGGGTGACATGCCGAATTTCGTAACCATGGCGGTTGCCATGCGAGTAACCTTGTTGAAATCGTCGCTAGCTCCGCTGGTGACGGTATCAAAGTGCAGCTCCTCACTGACACGGCCTCCCAGAGTCATAGCCATACGGTCCATGAGCTGGTTGACATTCATCAAGTAAGTGTCACCTCCGGCTGGGAGATACTGAGCGTAACCCAGAGCGCCTTGTCCACGGGGAATGATAGAAACCTTCAGGAGCGGGTCAGCCCAGCGGAAATACCAGCCACAAATAGCGTGTCCAGCTTCGTGATACGCCACTGTGCGCTTCTCTTCCGGCGAGAGCACAAGGGACTTCTTCTCCAGACCACCAATGACACGTTCGATCGCCTGCTCGAAGTGCTTCATCGTGACATGATCCGCGTTTACACGAGCCGCTGCAGAGGTGGGTTAGTAAAAATCCAAGATGTAACAATTGCAAGGTGGCAACTACTTACCGACTAGTGCAGCCTCATTCACGCAGTTGGCGATGTCGGCACCAGCGAAGCCGGGGGTCAAAGCAGCGAGTCTACCGGTGAGGTACTCCATATCCTCGCTGGTAACAATCTTCTTCAGGTGGACGCGGAAAATCTGCTTACGGCCATCCATGGTAGGACGGTCGATAGAGATATGCCGGTCGAAACGCCCCGGCCGCATGAGAGCCTTATCCAGAACATCAGGTCTGTTTGTACCAGCCAAGACAACCACTTGCTCAGAGGTGTTGAAACCGTCCATTTCAGTAAGAATCTGGTTCAGCGTGCTCTCACGCTCGTCATTTCCACCCCCAAAGCTTTGCTTTGCTCTCGATTTACCGATGGCATCGATCTCGTCGATGAAGATAATGCAAGGCGTGTTCTTACGAGCATTGGCAAAGAGGTCACGGACACGGGAAGGTCCAACACCAACGAACATCTCAACGAACTCTGAACCACTGACACTGAAGAACGGAACACCGGATTCACCGGCCGTTGCCTTGGCGAGCAACGTCTTACCAGTACCAGGAGGTCCAGAAAGAATGGCACCGCGAGGAATTTTGGCACCAAGTTTCTGGAACTTTTCGGGATGCTGAAGGAAGCTGACAAATTCCATGATTTCAACCTTAGCCTCGTCCATTCCAGCCACATCAGAGAACTTGATCTTAATATCTGTCTCGTGGTTGAAACGCTTGGCACGACTCTTTCCAATACCAAAGATGCCACTTTGGCCACCGCCACCGCCTGCAGCACGTCTCGACAACCAGAAAACTGAACCAATGAGGAGGAATGTAGGAGCAAAGGACAAGAGGGTGGCACCCCATGATACTTCTTCCGTATACGAAACGGGAATACGTTCAGAGCCAGGGATACCCAGTTCATTCTGCGCCTCATCCAATCTCCGCTCGAAACTCTCAACCGATCCGATACTGAAGTAGTAATGGAATAGGGGCTGGGTAGCCGGAGAATCAGGATAAACCCGAGAGACCGCGTCACGGTTCAGTTCAACCCGAACCCGGTTGCCGTTGATGACGGTCAGCTTCTCGACTAGACCTTTATCGAAGAAATTCGCTCTGAACTCTTGCCATGTGATATCCTTGCTGTTTTCGCCAGGGAAGAAGCTCCGGTAGACATAGTAAGATAGAAGGGAGGTAACTAGGAACGAGGCGGGGTCGAAACGGAACTCGAAAACTCTCGCATTCGGTGGCGGTTTCCATTCATTCTTGCCTTTCCCTTGTTGTCCTTGTTGTTTCTGGTCCTGTCCATCTTCCGAGTTGTTCTGGTCCCGCGTTCTCTTCTCCTCCAGCTCGTTCAGTTTGGAGGCGTAGTTTTCCAAATACTTCGCCATGTAACGCGTCAAGTTCACGTAGTCCATCAAAGACGTGGGTTTACCGGATTTCAGGTGCTTCTGAATGAAGTCGCGGACCTCCGGTGGTAATCCTTCACTCATCATAATCGACCGCATGTCGTCCAACATTTGGTGCTGTGACTGGGGTACCTTCGATTTCAAATGCTGTATAAATTGATCTACTGACTCTTGCTCTTGCTTGCTGAGCTTCGATTGAGGCTCCTCCGGCTTCTTTCCTTCTCCATCCTTACCGCCACCGTTCCCGGGTTGATTCGGCGGTTGGTGTTGACCGTCATTATCGTTCGGGGGCTTCGGAGTCTGGGTAGCATATGTTCTAAGGCGTGGCGTTGTGATGAGGGATGATAGTCTCGATTGTGAGATATGCGCCGACCGTGGTCCTGCGCGATAGATATAATCTGCGGCTCTCCTCGAATATCGAGCAAGATTGCCTGGCCGTCGGAGTAAGGTGGCCATGGTCGAGGAAGTTGAGCCCGAAGGCAAGGGTTAGGGGGTGTTTCAATCGAGGTTCAGGGACAATGGCAGACTGCCGGATCCATATAAACCCTCGAGAAGCACTGAATTGAAGGTGGGATAGGGAATGGAAAGCTCTTTGGGGGGAGAGCTGTCTTTCGCCGGTGAGTTACTAAGTTGAATTCCCGCCGCCTTTTGTCGGACTTTGGGTTTTTTCGAAGTTCCGCTCCGGTGGCTGAGTCATCGGCTTATGGCCTTACCAAACCAGCCCGGCGGCCAGAATCTTAACGAAGGTAATGGACCCTCTTTCCACGTCATAGTTGCTGCCTTTGAATCTGTCCATAGGCAGGGCAATGTCTTTGACGGAGAATTTGCGGGAGAAAGTGCACATGGGTTACTCGAACCTTGCGTTGTCTAGGCAAAATAGCTCGAGAGAGTGTACACCTTCAGATACAAACATTCCAACATTTTCAACAATGTACATATCCTTCAATACTATTTGAATGCGTACTGAATTTCCACCTAAAAACGAAGATATACAATATTTACGACCGTAACTATAGAGTATATGCTTGTATTGTCTTGTCACAGACTAACCATTATGTGAATGCTACCTATATTACAGAAGGGGTAACGTATATCCTCGGCTTCTCGTAGTTCACGTTGCCCTTGGCCTCAGGCGCTGGCGGACCTTGCGGTTGTAAGAGTGGAGTAACAAGAGCCCCCATTTTTTAAACGCCGTTAACCCCACCCAAAAAGATATGACTAGATACAATGATATAAAATAAGAAAATCCAATCCCCAACTCCCCTGGTTCCATGCAATGTTAGGGTTCGAGTGTATCTCGTTGTAGAATTCGTCAATCTTTTCGTCTCATCATAATCAGGGTCCATGATTGGGTGTCCCCTCAAAGACCGGGAAGTTGCTAGACATGTCAGCCCAGTCCCATTCGATCGTCATTGGCATCTGCCATAGGTCTTGTGGGACAAAGGGTTGTTGGAAAGATGTCATAGGGGTTCCAGTAGGAGTGCCGAATGGCTGTTGATCACCAAAGCCCACACCGTCCATGTTGTTGGGGCTAAGCATATCTGAGAACTCGTGTCCCATACCAGGCATGGTGTGCATACTTTCCTGCATAGATGTGGGAACACCATTAGTGCCTAAGACATTTTGACCTGGAGCGAAGGCCCTTGCAGCATTCGACATATCAGGACCAGTGTTGCCCAGATTTATCGAATACGAAGATGATGGGAATGGGGCAGTTGTTGGTGGTGCGCCTGTTGGCCTTTTAGTAGAAGGGGAATGAGCCGAGCTCTCATCAGGTGTCTTTTGCTGCAAATCCTGTGGCTCATCGGGGGCCGCCTTGCGTTTCTTCTTCGAATGTGACTCCTTTTCTGCCTTGTCAAGAACTACTTGGGCTATCCTCTCAAACTCGCCACAGAGGCCAAGCATACGCTTAATGCTCCCATTGGATTCATCAGACACGAGCGTTGATAGAAAATTGACAACCACAGTCATGAGTTTGACATCAGAACGTGCTCGAGCATCGTTGGGGTTTTGAAGAATATTAGCAAACAAAGTTACCAATGCTGAAACGGGATAATACAGAATCAACCTAGACCTTGTTAGCGGGCGACTGCGAACACTCGAATTATACACTCGACTCACCAGACACATGCGAAATCACCGTGTGGTATGTATTTGATTAGATTGATAGACGCTCTGGCGGCCGTGACGCAAAGAACGGCAGATAAAAAGACTCTAGGGTTTAACGGCCTGGCATTGAGGCCTTGGATTGCATAGTTGGATAGACGGCTTGTCCAATACCCGTGGTGTACAGACATCCGGTGGATCGTTGTCAAGCAGTTATAGTAGGCAAAATGAAGGACGACAACGTGGAGAATAAGGGGTGTGTGGGAAGCTTTGATTTCATGCTCAGGTCGGAAATCAATAGGAATGCTGTCTTTCCATTCTTCGAGTTCTCTGTCCAAGTCTCCAATAGTATTAAGCAACTCGCCATCGGATTGCTTGGACGCTTTAGCAGAGTATAGCCGCTTATATACTCGGCTCTCAATGGTAGCGAATCGGCACAATGATCTGAATAAGTTGAACTTCCCCTTTCCGTCAGATATAGGTACATTGCCTATGTTATCTGGCGGATCTTCGCTGGGTAGCTCCACATTCATATCGTCGTCATCCTGCACCGGAGGGCGACCAGAACGAAGGCAGATACTATGAGCATATTAGTCATGTAAGAAATAGGGATCACAAATGGGTATGGAGATTCATCATCTCGACATACTCTTTATCAAGAAGATAAGCGATCCAAAACACCCTCTTTCGCTGCTCAACTTCAACTGGGTTTAGTCCGAATCCAGATCCCCGTTTATGGAGGCCGATGCTATGCGACAGCCTGATAGCCGCCGCAACCAAGAAGAAGGAAGGCTGAGGATTTGGAGTTCCTTGTAGGAAGAGTGACTAGACAATTGTTAGGCCAAAGTCCCAGGCATTGATGAAGTTTGTGATACGTACCATGCCTAGCAATGCTTGGACACTCAAAAGATCTGTATTCCGCATGGTTAATTCGGTCAAGACTCCCATAGCATTTTTCAGGTAGAGCCAAGCCTTCTTATCCTCTTCTTGAGGCACCAAATTACTCATGACTCGTAGCCTGTGGGCGATGGCCAGGACAACATTGATGCTAGCCCACCAGCCAGAGCCTTCGTATGGATCCCGAGAGTATTGGCGCTCCACCAAGTGCATGAATGTCGGTTCGTGAAACAACGGGAACATGCAGTTGAAATTCTCGAAGAAATCTTTGAACAGTGACAGCGCCTCCTCCTTTGGGGGTAAGGGTTTAAAGACACGACGAGCAAATATGTCGCTAAAAATCTCTGGTTTCCAGTACATCCACTTGTTATCATCTACGTATGCTGACGAGATCATGTCCTGAAAAGAGGTATCGCCTGTTTTTTCATTGACCCATTGAATTCCCTTCGGAGAGAATATGGAAAATCCCGAAGATGATCCTGTGATACAATGTTAGCTTGCTTGCGATTTAAGTTTGCCGAACTGAGCATGCGCATACCGATGTACCGCGTTTCTCCACAATTATTTGTCACAAGTGAGCACATCATGTCTGATAATCCCTCGACTTCTGGCTCGGATTCTTTCGGTGAATCGGGAGAGGTGGCAGCTGTGTGCGGACTGGAGTGAGAATCCATCCGTGGCGTCGAATGGCGAGACACAGTAGTGTGCTGGGATTGCGACGCCGCGCTGGAGCCATTGAATTTATTTGTTGGACTTTTCAAGGCGTTCAGCCCCGTGTTGCCTAGAGATCGGTCGGCGAGGCGCTTCTCCAGAGTCCCAAGGTCGGTTTTCCCATCATCCTCCGACAAGAGACCAGACAGACGTAAAAGCGATTCCATTCTCCCTAACCGATTCTCTAGACCCTCGATATATTTGGCACTAGAAGCGTAAACAGTCAGCACCCACAACGAAGGAGTAATACGGTAGATGCGCAAGTATACCCTTTGGGAGGATTTCGCTTCTTCTCCACCTGAGTGAAAACACAATCCGTCTTATAGTTAATACAGTGGGAGCATTTGGGCATCTTGCCGTCGCATTTGATTTTCTTCTTCCGGCACATGTCACAGGCCTACACGGGGAAGATCAGCTTTGCTGACATTCAACCGACAAGGTCATAGTCAACCACTACTCACCCTCGCAATCCTTCTCCTCTTGGCGTCATTGTTGTCCTCACCCGCCATTCCAGGTTCCTCGTTATAGGTGGGATTCGAGAGAACATTATTCAGCGGTGAACCGCGCGAACTGTCGTGGTTATAGCCGCCGAAGAGATGGGGCTGTTGGTTCATCAGCATCGGCATATCAAAGCCCATGCCATCTGGACCTTCCCCCATGCCATCCATCGTGGCAGATCAAACGGAATGTGACGCTGCGACGTATTAAAAGCCTGAGAAGTATAGTGTGGAGTTCTAATGTTGGCGGGTATCGTTTCAGGCGTGATAATGATAGGAAAGATGCGGGGTCTTTCCGCGAAAACGTCAATGGCGTAAAAGAGCTGTTATCTGTCTCGTCTTGCTCTCCCTTGTTCAGTATGAAGCTTAGGTGATACACGACAGAAAGACTAGGGTCATCGGACGCTAGCCTTTCTCCACTGGGGAAGACCTTCAAAAGGGCGAAAATAGCTTAAGGTACTTGGTGCGTTGCGCAAAGTTGAATGGAAAAGAGAATAGCTGACTCAACCTTCCCCAAAATCTGGCACGTGGCGAATCTTTTCAGTGGACGGAGAAAAAAAAGTAAAAAAGAAAGGAACGACGTCAACAATTCTATGTAGCAGAGTAACGTTTATGATCAGGCAATTCTTGGGTGTAGAAATTCAGAAGACCATTTGTCAACCCCCCTAGAGATTGATACCAAGGAAAGAGAGGCATCGCATTCGTACTCGTAACCTACGTTGTTGCCTTCAAACAGGGTGAACTAATTAACCTTACTAATTCAATAGTAGGGCACCTAAACCTGACACTTCGCGACCATTTCCTTTCTTTCAGGTACTAAGATGGGCTTTGCTTCACGCCAAGTCCATCCTTAGTGCGTTGCTCTCCCGTGGCTCGAATACGGATTTGGTACGATGTCAAGACTTCGGGAGCTGTTAAGTCCGATCTCCGTTGGACTTGAAACTTCCAGCTGATTTTCACGGCTGTCTTGTCTCCGGAAACGCCGACATCCGGGCGGACTTGGCGTTTTCTTCCTTCTTCTCAAGGTGTCCAAACCCCAAAGTCACAAGACTTCCGACCTCCGGAACTCTTTTGCTTGTTTCGACTCTCGAGTCACAGAATGTCTTTGGCACCACGTGGAACGGCCCACGGAGGTTATTACAACTTCCAGTGATTATCTATGCATCTCATGCAAATCATTCTGTGAATAACCTGATGAAGAGGCCGGAGCACCGTCAGCTGTCTATATTCACCGGGAACCACAAGACTCATGCGAGTCCTAGTCAGGCCCGGACAGTATACGTCTTGTTCGACAGTCATGGCCATAGTGTACTATCCTAGCTGCAACACCACAATGCAAAATGAATAATTCTCAATGATAGGCTTCTTTAGTATTTATACAGTAGTACATGTAAAGTAATCAGGAGTGGCGATCTCGTCAGGATATATGCAAACACAAGTCTCCGAGGAGGAGCAGGAACAAATGTACCTCGTCCTCGAAAATTCCACCAACGCCATGCTATGCACCCAAAAAAAGACATTCTCTTTCCTTATACAATGAACGGAAGGTCCACTCTTCCGTTGTCAGAGGATCCGCCAATACCCCTAACGGTGACCAGGGGGCCACGGCCCCTTCCGATCCCACCTTTAAGTATGCTTATCGAGGAATTCCTTGGCTTCGTTGATCTTGGTTGCCAGGTACGGGCTGCCGCCACGATCGGGGTGGTTAAGAAGCATGAGCTGACGGTGCTTCTTGCGGACCTTGTCCTTGTTCAAGGTACGTTCCCTATTCATTCTGTTAGACTCTGTCCAAAGTCGGTACGAGACAACGAGTTCGAAACATACGGAAGTTCCAGGATCAATGCGGCTTCGCGACGGTTCATCCGGGGTTCAAATCCTCTATATGCCAGTCAGCTATCCACTCTAAAGCTCCACTTATACAACCAAGTCACCTACCCCTTGTAGAATGCCTTGCCCGCGGCGTTCACACCTCCCCTGGCGCGACGGAAAGCGACAAAACCCGCGCGACCCTATACACAGGTAAAATGCCGGTGTTAGTTTGCCACACTCTATAGCCAAAGAATCCGTGTTCACTGGCTTACCAAAAACGCCGCGGTCGCGACACCGAGTCCCATAGCAAGAGTTGAAGCCATCTTCGTTTATAGCTGGTCTTTGAAGACACCGAGTCCGGTCAGAGGATGGGCGATATCTGAGTCGAGGTTGAAGTAACACGGGAAAGAAGTGTTCGATGTGACGTTCGTTGGGAGAGGCGGAAGGCCGTCGAGATAAAAATTCGGAGCGTCGCCGCCGATGCCCGTTTCGGATTAGCGTATTCTCCGCCACGGTTTTGGAGATCTGCGAAAAGTTTCTGGCGGTACCTGAGGTTGTTATCACCACTGATACCTTCAACCTCCTCCAGTTGTTTTTTTATTTCAAGTTTGAAGGAAGTGGGCAGAGACATCATTCATCATGAGGTAAGTTTGCAGCTTCTACGGTTTTTGCCGTTTCTCACCAGTGCTACTTTGATAATACAAAAAAAAAAAAAGTCACTAATCATCTGCGCAGAGTTGAAACCTGCCACTTCTGCAGTCGGTATGCTATAACCCCGCCATCAACCCAGGTATAATTGTTTTTAACAGCAAAATAGCCCTGTATACCCTAGCAAGGGTATCAGTTTTGTGCGGCTCGATTCGAAAATGTTCCGGTTCTGCAGAAGGTGGGTGGTTTCTATGATCCATACGGTGGAAGTACGCTCTAACTCCTTCCAGCAAATGTCACAAGAACTTTAAGATGAAGCGCCAACCCCGGAAGTTGAAGTGGACCAAGACCAGCAGAGCTGCAAATGGAAAGGAAATGATTGTCGACTCGTCTCTCGTTCTGTCTCAGTTCGCCAAGAAGAGGAACGCCCCCGTCAAGTACGACCGCAACCTCGTGGCCGCTACCGTCAAGGCTATGGAGAGAGTGGAGGAGATCCGTCAACGCAGAGAGCGCGCTTTCACCAAGCGCAGATTGGCAGGCAAGATCGCTCGGGACCGCAAGCGCGAGGCAGACCGAAGAGTTGTGGCCGAGGGCGAGCACCTTATCCGCAAGGAACTGCGCGACAGAGAAGAAGGAATGCCTTTGGTGCAGGAGGGCAAGCAGAACAAGATCTTCAGCGAGGAGAGGCTCAGACAGAAGAAGAAGACCAGAGTTCTTGTGGATGGCACAACTCAGGAGGAAATGGACGTCGATTAAAGGTTATGCGCTTTCTTTGTTTCTTTCAGATACGATGCCCTGGGTTTTACAATGGAGTTAGGTTGTTGTGATATCTGATTTGTTTGCTACTAAAAAGAACTGATTCATGCCTAGCTAGTGAATATTTTTCTACATGGTTTACGGCTTATGCCGGTTTTCATACCTTGTACAAACTTTCTTGTTCCCGTCTATAGATCTTTGTCTAAAAGAAACCCACTGAGATGGTGGCATATTTACCCTTCACTGGAGAACAAGTCTTTATTCACTTTTGCTTGCTAGGCTCCTTGCTCATCTTTACATGTTCTTGCTCTTTGTTCCTGGCCCAATGGCTGTTGCTCTGAATGCATGTTGCGTTTCTCTTTTGTGCTAAGAGCAAATAAAGGACCGCTTACCTGAAAGGAGTATATATTCTTCTATTTTGATCCTTATCTCCTAGCCTTTCTCCCATTACCACTAACATCTTACACTTGCCTACCATCAAGCTTTTGTATGCGTTAACCAGACCAGACTAATATCAACGGCTGAGAGACTAACATGACGTGAGATCCATCCAATCCGTACCCATTACATATTACTCTCATACCGCAGACAATGTTCGTTCCCTTTATCGGTCTGTTTGTCACCTTGACGTTCCTCGGTGCTCGTTTCACAGTACCAGGAATGAAGGAGCTCACTGACCGCCGCGAGCCTCTCTTTATGCGCATATCGAGCGCCGTATGCATAGCATCAGAGGCAAATACAATCCTCGACATTGCGCAAGTCGCCACATGGGTATACAAGACAGCAACTCTCCCGAAAGATCTTCTGCCCTACAACTGGGACAATCTCTGGTGTCCCATCAATCGAGCAGACTTGATCACCGAGAGGGGACTCCTAGTGACTAACAACACGGAGACATCGCTCATCGATCTTTACCCCATATGCTATGAGGAAGACAAACCCAGCTGGTGGAACGATGTCCACGTCGATCGGAATACTGACGACAATGCTTCAACGACATTGCCTTCTTTCAAAGAGTTCCTAGACATTGTCATCGCCATTTCCTGTATCTCATTACACAGCTGGACTCGCATCACCTCGTGGGGACGCTCTGCAAAAGGTTCCCGGCCCGGAGCAGGAGCACCCTCCGACGTATCTGATGGCAGTGATGAGGATACGCCGACCTCTATTCAGATCCATCCTAAAGTGGAGAAAGCGATCTCGCGCAATCAAGGCAGCCGAAAACTCGGCGTACAACCTTCAGACTTCACTATCGCTGCCGAAGACCCAGAAGTCAGCCCTGTCAGCGCTGACAACAACTTCGCACGACCTGCTCCCGAAGCCCGCTACATGCTAGAGCGACAATGGGCTCTAGATCTGTACCGACCTCAAAACCGTGCTCCGGGTCTGATAATCCGTGCTTTGGTCGCCAGCCTAGCGGCACATACTGCACAACCCGGACCTAGTAGTCAATCCCGACCTTACCAACTAGAGCAGGACCAACTAGAAAAACCCAACAAGAGACGCAAGAAGAACCGCCCCAGTCAAGGAAAGAGAGAGCGCTGGTCGCAGAAACGTCAAAGGATGCGTCAACCAAGGGAATGGGACGGTGGAGACCCAAAAGAGAGGGAGAGACAAGAGATGGAAGACGAGGACCCTGCATTGGCGGACAAGGACGAACAACCCGAAGCCCCGACCTCTGATTAACATGTACAGGTAGTTATATATACATCTTCCTATTCACCCTGTTCGTCCCGTGGGTAATCAACGGAGATTTGTACCGCCCAATCTGTGATCTGATCACCTTCCCTGGACTTGTGCTTATCATGCGGCTGGGCGGGGATGCGTATTGACCGGGTCAATATCTTTTGTGAACCTCCAGATCTCTGAGTCCTTGGCTCGTTTATTAGCAAAAATTGGTATGTAGGAATAGTTGGGGAGTAGCTTAGTTCTTGTTGGACGCTCTTGGGATTTCTCACATCTTGCGTGATGTGTTTGGACAGGTGGTGTGCGTGCTCTAGTGACGGTGGAATGTATGAATTGACAAACATGTTTTGAGCATATGTGTTGGTATTTGGGTTTTGCAAGAAAATATATAATGTTTAGTAGTCTTTCATATGAATATAAATGATTAGTGTAGATCATCCAAATGATTCTCGATCCGTCTACCAGAAATTATCTAATTCGTGAGCCAGCTTCCCTTCGCTGCTCAGGAGTGACAAGTATAACCCAGTATGATGTATTTAGTATATCCCAATGGGAGTTTGTGTACACAAATAAAAAGGAAACAGTCGACGGACTCATGTGAAGGACTCTGGTCCGGTATATGAGGGCGATGCAAATGCTGTGATACAAATAAAATGATACATGGGTGGTCAAAATGGAGTAATTGAGTGGCAATAGTGGGAATATGAAGGGAGAGAGAGAGGGAGAAACCAATGGAAAGAGAGAAGGCAAAGAATAAAAGTAATAAGACCGGGACGATCCATTCAAATCAATCATGCATACCAGGGCCCCAAGGTCACACGAAGTGCCGACGGGTGATACATTCCCTAGTAACCTGTCATACACGCAAAAAGGGGTTGTTCAAACAGGACAAGTAACCACAGAAAAAACCAACGTTCGCAAAATACGCGCGAGCTCGTACATGTCATGAAAAGGTACTGCCGTAGCGCAGCAGCCCAATCGGCTAGAATCCATGGCCGAAGAGAGGTTCGTGAGAATCACACAAAACAATGATCCAAGAGGGTATAAGATGAGGGGTTGTTTACTCCTCCATCCGACCAAAAACGCCATCGTCGTCCTCATCAGCCGCAGTGGGCCGGTGCCCAAAATCAACGTCTGCATTGCGACTTTGCCGTGTGGTGCGATCCGCATCCCCCATCTTCACCTCTCGCTCGTCTGACACCTTGTACGACAGGGAAGGGTTATACGAGAGCGAGAGGAAAATGTTTGGAGTAGAGTTTGGAAAAAGGGCATCTGCCTCCTTGGTTGCCGACTGATCCAAGCTCTGACTCTCGTTACCACTCGCGCCGGCCTGGTCAAGGAAGCGACTTGGCAATTCAGGGACGGGGGGCACACTAGGGGACATTGGCACTGGCCTCGTGCGAGGGGTGTTGAAAGTGCAGAGACCGATGGCTGCAGCGAGATCAGCCTCGTCGTCTTCGTGCAATTTGGCTTCTGCGGTCGACGGTCGGGTATCGATACTTGAGTGGCGGTAGTGTGAGACGCCGGCGAGTGCCATGGAGCACTACCGGTGAAGGAGCTCGAGGGCATGGACTGATACGAGTGGGAGAAGAGACCCGATGCAGTGCTGACACTGAACCGCTTCTCCATAGTTGGCTCGGGGGACATGTCTTCATCGTCCTCGTCATCCTCATCCATCGGGGGCGGAGTGGTCTCTGCAGAGCTGAGCCCATCTCGAAGTTCTGACGAGGCATCAGGGGACGCGGACGATGCTTCCGACTCGGCCTCCACGCCCTCTGGCGGATCGTCCTGGTTCATGTTTACCAAAACAGAGGCTGCCTCGAGCAGCTGGACTTGCTGATGCTTAGAGATCAGGAGTTTCGAGGTAATAGCCCATGCAGGGTCATGTTCCCACCTAAGTACCATAAAACGTCAATCGAGTGTGGCCCAGGATGACAAGGGGGTGAAAAGGGATTGGAGAATAAGGGGAGCTGAATGACCACGAAGGCGACCTTGCACAGAGCCGACATGGCGCATTTACCCCGGATCGAGCCAGACGGTAGGATGGCATGTTAGGGGAGGATACACACATATGCTTAGACAAGCAACTGCCATGCTTATACCCTTTCCCGCAACGATCGCAGCGAAGTTCTGTCATGGGGCGCTTCCCTTCGCTTTTGATAAGGTGCGATCCCTCGCTGGCCCGACGGTTTCGGTTCTTATTATTGTTGGCGGACTTGCTGGCGGAATTGTTTCCATCTACGGTCGCGAGGGTTGTCGGGGATGCGTCATTTGAGTTGGTTGGCGAGGCCTTGCGAGCGACCGGCGGCTCATGGCCGGGGCTATTCATGCTCCGTGAGAAATAAGAGCCGAAGCCGGAGGGGGCTCCGACCGAACTAGATTCCAAGCCTTTTCGGCTCCCTCGACGATGCGAAGGCACAGAAACTCCTACGGACTCCCCAGCTGAATCCTTCAAGGAGGCAGCGACTGCGGCGGCGGCAGCGTTGGCGACAGCAGCAGTGGTGACACTTTTACGGCGAGTTACCCGATGATTAGCGTTGACCGCACCGAGAGAGATGGAGTGGGCATGGTGGCGTGGGTTGGACTGAGGTAGAGGGCGAGAAAGAGACAATTCCTGTTCAATGGATGAAACCATTAGAATTAGCGATTTATCCAAGAGTACTACTTGGTCCAAAGGGACTAAATGCAGCATATGGCGGCAAACGCCGTACCTTGAATGAGGCCATGGTGAGTACGTGGACTCTCGGGTGATCAATCCCCTGAAGCCCACTTGAAGATAGTATGATCAAAACCGTTGGGTATACTAATTTGGCGGTGATCCAAAGGGATGGAGAGCAAGATGGACGTGGAAGGGGAGGGAAAAAAAAA